TGAAGATATTTTTAAAACATTTTTCTCAATTTTTTTATTTTTCAGGTGTTATGAGTGTGATGAAAAATTATCAACACATTGTAATAAGAAGGTTTTGGTTCAGATAGTTGACTTTCTCCAGAAGCATATTTCTAAAACACAAACAAGTAAGTTAAGTACTTGTTAAAGAAATTTGTGTTAAAGTATGATATATCTATATTTAAGATTTATTTATTTATGCATACGGAACTGGGGTATTGGCCAGAGGTTTAGGGGTGGTGAGAGGCTTCACCAGAGACAGAGTGGGGAGCAGAACAGGCGGACTGATGAAGTACACTGCTGAGGGGAGCAGCAGGTGGGGTCAGGTGAGGTCTGCTGCACCATGTGGATCACCTCCAGGGCTGGGGATGGAACTCACACTGAAGTGGCTGCTGCTCGCTTGCAGTGCTGCACTTGAACCCGTTGTGCTACCAGGGTGGGCCTAAAGTATGGTATTTTATATTTCATAAACGAGTTCATAAGGAGTACCTTAAATTTTACTGTGACCTCTTGGTCTATTATTTGAGTAATTAAAAATGTAACAGGTGCCACACAGAGGGAGCAGTCTTGTAATGTTATCTTGTATTTATTTGTCAGTATGAGACACTGGAAAGGATAGTGACTTTCTACATCAAGGTCTTTTGAATCAAATAGTACTGACTGAGTTTGAATTTAGATTCTACCTAAATTGCTTAATGTCCATGTGACTTTTACTCCTTAGTTTTCTTACTTACAAAATCAGGACTGTAATTCTACCCTGTGGGTTGATCTGAGGCTTAAAGATCATGTTTTCTAAAGATTTATAAATAATGGATATAAAATGCTTGCATAATATCTGATATATTTCAATGAAGTGATTGATATCTATTTATTTATTCATACTTATTTTTATAGTGCAGTTTGGACACTATTTGAAGTTAGGTTAACCTTACATATTAAGGACTCAGTGCGGGGGGCAGGGAACAAGAATGTAGTGGGGAGGGAGCCCAGTGGACTGTGATGGTGGATTCTGGGTGACTTGGTGGTGCATGTGGTATGTAACAACATCTAAAGGGGGAGATCCTGCACTTCTGATATACAAACAACAATGTAAACCATTGTTACCTTGGTAATCATAACAAAGGCTAAATGTTTATGTCAGATACTAGTCTGAGTTTACGGACTCTCAGGTCACCTGCGTTTCTGATCAACTGGCTACAATTTCAGGGTGCCCACTACCATCTCAGGTTCAGTAATTTGCTAGAATGACTCAGGAAAGTGTTGTATTTATAGTTTTACTACAGAAAAAGAAAATATACAAATAAGGACTAGCTGAAAGGAGAGATGCATGGGGTCAGATGTAGGAGGGTGCCAGACATGAAGCTCCTGTATCTCCTTCCTGCAGAGTTAGGCTGGATTACCTTCCCAACAGGTTGGTGTGGAGGGGTACACACAGCCATTACTGTGGATGCTCGAATGTCAGAGTTTTTATTGGCATTTTTTGTATACTATGACTGATTGAACCTTTGGCCACATGATTTAAGTCAGTCTCCAGTACCTCATCCTAATCACACACTTGGTCATCCAGGTAAAACTAGCTCCACCCTGAATCATCTCATAAGTGTCATCTTCTAGGTGCCCACATGTCTCACTTTGTTAATGTAACTATCAGTTGTGGTCTGATGGCACCATTAAAAGTGCAGAAGACACTCCTGTCACTTTGGGAATCCAAAGATTCAAAAGGTTCATCTCAGGAACCTGGGATAAAGGACAGCCGAATTCTTTATTATGTAATATGAATATATAATACATTCTTTGTTAATTTTCTACTTTTTTCATCTGTCATATGAACAGTTTTTCATGTTAATATGAATTAGGATTAAATAAGGAAACAGTTTCTTCATTCAAAATTTTCATTGTCACATGCTGTGGTAAAACAAACACAGTTTTAGCTTACTGTTTATTGGAAGAGATGACAAGAAAGTAAATATATAGTAGCTTCTGTGTTGTAAAGGAAAGGAACAGACTGAGTGATAGGTAATAATCTAGTGATCACAGTGGTCAAGAAAGATCAGTTTGACTGGAATGTGGTTTGCTGGAGAGAAGAATGAGATGAAGTGAGGGGGGCATATGCTTAGGGAGTAAAGAATACTGCGGGCAGAATGAGGGGCACCCAGAGGACCCCCGAGCCTGCTTGCTCCTCTGCCATCTGCCACATAAAAAAAAAACATATTCTTAATACATAAGGCTTCCAGTAGAAAAGAACTTTAATGCAGTTAGTGTGGAACAGAGAGAAGAGAAAGAATGTCATTAATATAGTTTCCAGTTAAACACTGAAAGTTACCCGTACTCTTGTGGGTAAATGCCCAATCAAATGGGGTTGGCTCAAAGCAAGGCCACTTATGGCACAGAGCTTGCCTTAGGTCTAAGGTACCTTCTGCTAGAGACCTGAATGAGAGGGGCCAGAGGGACCAGGCACATCCAGAAGGAAGAGGACAAGATCAAAATACAAGTCAAGATAAAGGCTGTCATCGTCAGGCTCCCGGGGTCTCTCACCTGTCTCTGTCTCCTTCCATGTCCCCTGGCCCCTGGTGCAAGTCCAAGGCCAAGAAGTGAACACACCTTCTTCACATGTCTCTGTTGCATGAGCCTTCTCCAGGTCTTCTCTTATCCCTCCTCCTTTTTCTTTCCCAGTCCATCTCCCAGTTTTTTCTAGCTGCTTCTTCCTGCCTAACTCTACCCTTTCTTGGGTGGCCCAGGGGACTTGCAGCCTTCCCTTTCTCTGGGGATTACACTTTACATATGGAATTCCATGTTAAAATTTTCCTATTTTGTTGGAAGTGTAGTGGAAATTATTAAAGTGTCTTAAGGAGGGGAGTAATAGTCATTTCATCTTTTTAAAATAAAAATTGCTATATGGAGAATAGACTTTCCAGGGTTAAGAGTGGAGGTGGGAAGGCTAGTAAGAAGGTTAAAGGAGGTTATTTTGACAAGGCAGTGAAAGCTTAGTAGAAGCATTGGCGGAAAGTGAGTGGATTCGGTGTAGTGGGTGTGGCAAGTGGGAAGAATTAAATACAAATCTCAGGATTTTGATTAAGTATCTAGGTAAATGGATATGATAGTTTTCAGATATCTTTGGAGCAGAATTAACTGAGGTTATATAAAATTTCATCTGTATGTTCTGTATATTTCTTAAATATATCCTTAATTCATAGTTGTTTTTGTCAGCTATTATTCTAAGACAATAATGGTGAAGAAATTGGAGGTGAAACTAGATGAGGTAAACTCAGGTTCCTGGACAATAGAAGAAATGGCCAATTTTGTCACTCATTCATTTTCTTATTCAGTAAACATTTGTTGAAATCTTACTCTGTCTAGCAGGCTGATTCTGCTAAAATAAAGAACCAGGAAATGTTGAAATGATGGTAGGCATTTAATACTTCAAAGACTGATGTTGATGTTAATGCTCCTGAAAACTGAACATTAAATTTGTTTTATTGGCTATAATAAAAAGATTTGTAAAGATATGATGCCAAGAGTGACAAAAATATAATTGTAGGAATTATTTTCTCTGAATCTTTTACTTTGGAGATTTATTCAAGTTAAGTACAAAGTCAATCTAATTCCAGTCTGTTTTCTTGAATACTTTCATGAAGTATGTAAAGTAGGAAGCATGGAAGGATACAGTAAAAAGAATATGGACTTTTAGTCGGGGCTGTGGTGGTATGGTCTCTATTTAAATTTGATTCTTTCAGTCATTAACTATGTTACCTTGGGGAGATTACAATTTATCTGAACTTCATTTTTCTCAGCATTTTCTCCCTCTTTCCCATGTTGCTTCAGAGAATAGAGTTGGCAAGATGGTTCCTTTTCTAAAGAAGTTTAAATCAAAAAGAATGTGTGAGGTAAAAATAAAAACAATGAATTTGTATTTTGAGTGCATTTTTAAAAAGTCCTTCAAATGAGGGATGTAACACTGAAATGAACTCAGTAGGGAATTGTGGCTTTCAAGCTGACCTTTAAATTAGGATGAACTTTGGATAGAAACAAGAGAAGAAATCACTTCAGGTGGTGGGGAGCATCAAACTGAGCCTTAATTATGTTTATTGAGGCATAAGTAGCACCTGAAATAGTGGAAAACAGCTTTTTGAGGTACTTTGAGCGAGAGTAGTGCCTTCAAAGTTAGGGAGAAACAGTTCTGAATTCAAGGTTTCCAGAAGTTCTCGGAAAAAAATGTCACTTTCTTTGCGTTTGAAGCTACAGCATCTCTCAGGCAAGTTTGATTTGAAATAAGATTCTCTGGCATTTTGGAAGTTTTTTTTAGTAGTCTGCCATATTCTTTCCTGCTTGAGACTTCAGTATACTTTAGTAAAATACTTTAAAATATGAAAGTTGCTATTGAGGTTTATAAAAATGCTGGATACAATTATGCTTTTAAATGATAATTATGAAGAAAATACAAAATGGCATGTATTGTTTGGACGAGAGGATGAATGATAGAAATATTCTTTTTTAACATTTTTACCTCAATGAAAGTAATTTTACTGAGAGAAAAGCCTGTTATTTATATCTTAAACATGTTTTAAAGCAACATATAATTCAGCTTCTCTACATGGAGAATCTAGGCTGGTGCCCTCTCCATCTCTAAAAACAGCCAGCTCAGTGAATCCCAACTTTTGACCTCAGCAGCCTTTTAGACTCATAAAAACCTATTAAGTACTTAAAAGGCTTTGGTTAGGTAGCTTATATCCATGAATATTTGTCATATTAGAAATTAAAATTAAAATATTTATTAATTCACTAAGAATAATAATAATAAATCCGTGCCATGTTAAAGAAATTACATTTTTAGGAGTTATAACTGTTTACCCAAACAACACAAACTTAATAAGTGGCATCATTTTACATTTTTACAACTCTCTTAAATGTCTGACTTAATAGAAATGGCTAGATTCTCATGATTACCTCTGCATTCAATCTGTTGTGGTATTAGTTCGTGTGTGCCCTCTGGAAAACTGCCTTGTATAGTTGAGCATGAGTAAGAGTAAGAAAAGCAAATAGCATCTTAGGCTTATTATGAAAATACCTTCAGCCTTAAGGATCTGTGAAAGGAGGGGCGGTGGGATCCTTGGAGCCACTTCCAGAACTG